TTCGTATACAGCCCCTCGGGCAAAACAGGAGTTATAAACACCTCGTAACATGAAAATCTCAGTGGAAATAGCAAAACCAAATCAGTGATTAAATTCTGAATATCTCATAAAACCCCAGCTTAAATGTAAGTTGTTTAAAAATATTTGTTCATCATTTCGACAGAGGCTCAGTATAAAGATGAGTGAAAGCAGTAAATAAATCAACACATTCGATAGAAACTTACTGTAAAGAGGGTGAAAACCAATAAGTTCATAAACAGACCCTTCAGGCAAAGCATCACTCATGCACATGTATGTATATATATAGCCCTTCGGGCAAGCCTCTCAGTCACTCGTGATTCAACTCTTACCAATCAGCGCTCACACTCAGCACTCACACTCAATAGGTACCATATAGTAACCGCTGCGGTGCAGCCCGATCCATATATCTCGTCGACGGCGCTCATTGGGGGTGTGCAGATTCCGGAGGGGCTCCTACAGCCCAAGCGTTATATCGTTGCGGTGTGCAGTCCGATCCAACATATCGCTGCAGCGTGCAGGCCGATCCATATACACACATATATATATATATTGTTGCGGCATGCAGCCCGATCCATAAATATATAATCCTCACAACCAAGCCCTCGGCCTCTCTCAGTCATTAACCTCACAATCAGACTCTCGGTCTATCTCAGTCATCAACCTCACAATCGGACTCTCGGTCTATTTCAATCATCAACCTCACAATCACTCGGGCCATTAGTGAATCAGGGAACTCAGCCGAAACAATTTTCACATTTTTAAGAAGTAAAGGGATAAAACCAGATTTAAATAATAAACAGGTAAAACATGACTGAGGATATGCTTTCAAAAACAAATAGAGTGAGAAAAAAATAGTGAAAGTGCCTCTAAGGGTCTCAACAGGTCAGCACAAGGCCCCAAACATAGCGTACAACCCAAAATATAATATCAATCTCTAAAATATGGAATATCATAAGACTTCAAATCAAATACGCGACTTAACAGTTGTACGGGACGGAACAAGTCTCAATCCCCAACGGTGCACGACTTCATGCTCGTCACCTGGCATGTGCGTCACCTCAAAATAGCACAACGAAGTGAAATCCGGGGTTTCAAACCCTCAGGGCGGTATTTACAATCATTACTTACCTCGATCCGGTCCAAACTCTAGCCCGTGGCGCCTTTGCCCTCACAAATTGACCTCCGGATGCTCCAAATCTAGACATAATCAGTACATAACCATTAAAATATGCTAAGGGAACAAAGCCCACTCAAAAATATCCAATTTACATCAAAAATCCTGAAATTGCTCAAACCCAGCCCCCGGTCCCACGTCTCGAAATCCGATAAAAATCATGTCAATAGAATCCTTATTCACTCACGAGTCTACCCATATCAATTTCATCAAAATCCGACCCGAATTGCCCATTCAAATCCCCAAAAGAAATCTCAAACTTTTCTTCCATTTCCCCCCAATTTTCACTCTAATTTCTCAAATTAAATGATGAAATTTAAGACCAAATCATGGAATTAAACCAAATATCAATGAAGAATACTTACCCAAATAGCTCCACTGAAAATCTATTCAAATTTCACCTTCTCCCGAGCTCTCCAATGGTTTTATGAAATTGGACTTAAACCCTCGATTTTAAAATATAAACTCACTGCCCAGATTTTCCTTCATCGCGAACGCCGCACTACCCTCGCGTTCGCGAAGCATACTACTTCACAGACCTGATTTTCTTCTACGCAAATGCAAGACCCATCTCGCGAACGCGATGCACAACTGCCTCGATGCTTTGTGATTGCGACACCTACTGCGCGAACGCGTAGAACAAATGCACTGGAGACTCAGCTATCCTTCTTCCTCTATGCGAACGTGACCTACACCTCGCGAACGCGTTGACCAAAACATCATAACATCGCGAACGCGATAGAGAAAACGCGAACGCGAAGACCATCAACCTCACACCTTCGCGATCGCGGAACATGCATCACGAACGCGAAGGTCAAAAACTTGCAACACCAACAGCTGAGATTCTGCAATTTTCCACAATATGAAATGGTTCGATTGACCTCCCGAAACTCACCTGAGGCCTTAGGGACCTCAACCAAACATACCAACATATCCCATAACATCATTCAAACTTGTTCCAACCTTCGGAACACACAAAACAACATTGAAACACCAAATTTGCATCGGATTCAAGCCTAAGAATTCCAAGAACTTTCAAATTACGCTTTTGATCAAAAACCCAACCAAACCACGTTCGAATGACCTGAAATTTTGCACACACGTCACAAATAACTCAACGGAGCTACTGAAACTTCCGGAATTTTATTCCGACCCATATATCAAAATCACACCTATCAACCGGAAAACGCCAAAATCTCAATTTCGCCAATTCCAGCCTAAACCTTCCACGAACTTCCAAAACGCATTCCGATTACGCTCCTAAGCCTCAAATCACCTAACGGAGCTAACCAAATCATAAAAATTCTGATCCGAGATCTTATACAAACAAGTCAAATCTTGGTCAAACCTTTCCAAATTTCAAGCTTCAAACCGAGAACTGTTCTTCCAAATTCATTCCGATTACCCTGAAAACCAAAACCAACGATTTACATAAGTCATAATACATCACACGGGGCAAGTCAAGCCCGAGAACTGGCGAGCAAAGTGCAAAAACTCAAAAACGACCGGTCGGGTCGTTACAGTAACTCGGGAGAGTGCGTCTAGTAAATTGTCGTGATTATTCGGGAGAGATTTATGGTAATAAGAGTGCTCATGATCGATAGATACGATTAGGCAAATCTATGCGAAACATAACAGGAAGGGATTCCATCAATAGTGGAAATCATAACCTTTGATTCTTCTCTTATTTGCATACAACCCAGTCATAGTTAGCTTTTAGTTTACTTGCTTTCATTCAGTTATAGTTAGTAAAAACATCTCCAATTATTATTCAAAATATCTGGGAAGTTGATTACGAAGAATTTAGTGAGTCTAACAAGAGTAATTGATAGGTTAATTCCCTGTGGATTCGACTCTGGGCTAAATACTCGGATTATATTTGCAGCGACCGCTTTATCCTTTTTATAAGGCATAGTTGGGCATGATAAAAGATGGAGAGAAAGTATGGAAGATTAGAGTCTAACATAATTTTGTATAAAATTGATAATTTATATATGAACTTGTAATTAAGTTAAAACCTCAATAGTAAAAATAAATAAATTTCAAAATTAGTATAGATAAGTAAAAATCTCTTCCCTTTATTGTATGGGTCGAACAATTCCTTGCTCTTACTAGATTTTTCCAAAAAATAAAACAGAATAAAGTTTATGAAAAAAAGAGTTTAAAATATCTTGTTATCATGGGTTCCCCTGAATTCTTTATGCTTTAGCAGTGGGAGAGCGAACGAAAGAGATTCTCTCACACAAAAGTTTTCCCATTAGACTCCCAATTACTTTTTTTGTCTGGCTCCTAATAAGTCCAATTACTCTCAGTTAACTACTTATATACTTCCCCACTTGTAACCTTGTAGAAGAAACGCATAATAGCCGGATGGACATCTTTATATGTTCCATTTTGATGTCTTGGTTACTATGTTACACGAAGTTTCAACCAGACACTAGATCTTGTACAAATTAACTTTAATCAAGTTGATGTGCAATTTGTTTTGCTGAATTAGACAAAGGGTGTAATTATCCGCTCCAAAAGCAAGTGATTGATTAATTTAAAGAAACTAAAATGTAATGCCAAACAAATTCCCCCCCCCCCCCCCCCCC